ATGATATCTCCTTCGTTTTTTAGTCGTTTTCGAAAATTTTAGCACAGAAGTAACGATTTAATCATGATCTATTGGTTTTCAAATTTTTCTAGGTGAAAAAATTTCATACCTCTCGTTACCAACTTCATACCATACTATACCACCCTCATATGGGGTGGTATTTTTCATACCATATGCTATGCTGTTATTTAATACCAGTCAATACCATATGGTACAGTCAATATCATATGATATAGAATGGTAATAACTGACATATTTTTTTGTTCCAAAAAATATTAAAGTGGATATCTTTTTGAAGAGCACAATTAATATGATCTAACTGTGCAAAAAAATTAATTTTCGAGTTAAAACGAGTGAGAAATCGTCCGTTAAAGATTAATGGAAGGAAAATTAAAAGTTTTTCGAGGAGACAGAAGGAGGCGCTGATGTGGCGGATTCTTATTGGGTTATGCATGGGGTTATAGTAGGGGTGTTCAAACGGATTGGTTATCGTGGTAACCATATTAACCGGTAGCATTCGGTTTGGTTAAACAATTTAGCGTATTTGGCTTAGTTGGTTTGGTTTGGTTTCAACACTGGTAACCAATTAAACCAATTAACAAATTAATGATACACCTAATATACAAAATTATTTATACTTCCATGCAACCAACCAAACCAAATTTTCGTGATTTCCTATTTTATTTCCATGTGTACAACAAACCAAAGCATTATGGGTCAAAAATTAAATGGGCCTACCTATTTACTAAACCAAAACATTTTGGACAACTACTAGACTTTATGATTACATACAATACCATGACAACCACCTCAAACTATGTATAGTTTAAGTGTTTTGTAGGAGAGCTTTAACTTCTTGATGAGTGGTATTGATATGTATTTAATATTTATGTTAAGGGTTTGTTGTAAGCTAACTATATTAGGTGCATAGATGATGAATGATGTATTAACTCGAATGATAATGATAATCATAAATGGTTAGTATTATTATTATTTTTCTTATATATAATGATAGTAATAACGTATGATTATGTTTTATTCATTCTCAGGATAATTGTTTTCATGTAATGCTATGTTATTTGGTTAATCCGATTATCCGATTAACCAAACCAATTAAACTTTGGTTTGGTTAATTTGGTTTTCATGTTAATTTGGGAGGTTTGGTTAAGACATTTTATTCCATGGTTAATGAAATTTAAGCTTAATTGGTTTGATTATTACCACGGTAACCATTTGAACACCCCTAGGTTATAGCACCATAAGTACTCACCGGATCTGCTCCCTAAACGTCACCCTAGATTTTTATTATCGCCTTATCTCAAAATAATAAATTACTAAATTATCCTTCATTAAAAAAGTAAATTAAAACAACAAATGCTGCTCTCCAAAATTATAGCCGCACATCCATCAAGTCGACCTGGTGCACTCCAAACGCCCCTCCGCAGCCGCCGTCTCCTCTCTTCTCCCCACTGCATATTTCCATCGAATCAAATCCCCTCATTGGAATCAATCATTCCCGGTTTGTATATCGTTTGAATCACTCCGCCGTAAGATAAACTCTCGACCGCATCTTTCTGTACTCTCCATCGCCAGAATCAACTTCCAGTCTCGTCTATCCCTTCTCCTCATCGCCGGAATCAAATCCCCGCAGTCGTCTGTCACAAGTGGGCGTGTTCCTTCTCCCTGCAGTGATTACCATAACGATGACATTGATGAAGGCGGTCGACGGTGAGAATCGACGACGGTCGGCGGCCAACAGTGTGAATCAATGATTCTTGATTGAGGGCGGCGGCGGGTAAATGGCAGCAATGGCGATGAGGCGTGGGTTCAATTTTTTTTTTGGATATATGAGTTTGTTTAGAATAAAATATATCGTAATAATGAAGAAGAAAATGATAAATAGATAATTTTACCATTTAAATTAGGACTATTATGATAAGACTAGAGCGACATTTTGCAATCCCCGTTTATAAATGGATTAATATTTTTAGGTGACCCGAACTTTACTGTTCTTTACAATCTCGTCCAATCGTTTTACTATATACAATTATGATCTAAATTATCACTAAAAATTACTCATATATTCCAATTCAAGTCTTGACCGTTGTATTTGACTATCAAAACAGTTGACTAACACGTTACCTTCTTCACCTTCGTAAAAGAATTCTTTTGTACCTAGCCTCTAATTCAGGGAAATTAAATAAGTTGTCTTGCTAGAAATCAAACTTTTCCATACCTGTATGCGACGTTGGACTCGAACGGGACCCACTTCGGCTTGACCATAAACTCCTCCACGGTTTTCCTGTAATCCTCCTCTTCATCCGACGGCGGGCTGACGAACCCCAACACTCCGGCGAGGAATATGCTGAAGTAAGCGGTGGGGATCCCCAGGTCACGAGCGACGCCGGGCAGCCAGAAGGGAACATAGTCGAAGAGAATCCAGTCCGGACGGGAAGATCGGACGAAGCCAGCCAGCGGTTGCCGGAGAAGGTCGTAAGCTCTTTTCAGGTAGCTGACGTCATTGAACTCCAGATCGGAAGTCGCCTCGGCGGTGGTCGGGAGGCCGTCGACGGGAGGCAGGGGAAGCTTGACGAAGGTGATGAGAGGTGGAGGGACTTGGGGAAGGCGATCGATGTTGCGCGGAGTGGAGATGAAGGAGATCTTGTGTCCCTTTTTGGCCATGATCTTGGCGAGTTGGAGGAAAGGGAGCATGTGGCCGAAGGCTAGCCACGGGAACATGGCGAGCTTTGTGTCGCCTTCGCCGCCGTCCATGTTTGTGGCTCAGCAAGCTCCAGTTATAAACTGGGTGAATTGTTAATGTTAGCTGAAGAGTGAGAGATGATGCGAGATCGGGCTACAATCGGAGGAGAAGGATGTGCGGCCAACGATGACGGTCGATGGAGATGTGCGGCCAGCAGTGAGATTTCACCATCTTCCAGCGCTGCATCTCTCGAACCTCCTCTCCTTCGCTTCCACCATCTCCTCCAGTACGATCGAGGGTCGCACTCGACACGCTCTCTAGAGTCAAACTCCGGTCCTTCAAAACCTGCAGCAATGCTCCGACATTCGCAGGCACCGCATCGACTCTGTCAACCGAAATCGACTTCTCTAAGACCTGGATTTGGAGCTTCAGCAACTGAATTTCGCTCAATAGGGACTCCTCGTCAATGCAACTGCGAATTGGAGCTCGGAAAAACCTTCGCCCTCCCTGAACCGGGTGTCACTTTCGAGACCCACGGCGGATTCGAAGCTCTCCTCGGTTTCGGGTTTGATTCGTCGACCAATGATTACAAGGTCGTGAGAGTCGTGCGGCTTCTGGAGTACGAAGAAATCGCAATTGAAGTCGAGGTTTTTCACTGAACGCCGGCTTGTGGAAGACGATTACCTCCACGGCTCCGCAGTACAACATCGTGGAGCGCGGGTCCCAAGCCTTTGATCAACGGGTCGGTCCACTGGGTCGCGACCCGACCCGGCAACGACGACGGTGGTGACAAGAACTTGATTCTGGGTCTCGACCTAAAGGGGGAAGAGCGGTTCAGGGAGCTGGAGCTACCGAAGAGCTTGAAATTGGAGAGGGCGATGTTCTTGACTGTGTTGGATACAAGGAATCGGCGATTGCGATGTTCAAGAGGCCGTATTTCACGGGAGCGGAGAGCGAGATTTGGGTGATGGAAGAGTATGGGGCGGCGGAGTCGTGGGTGAGGCTGCTGACGTTAGGGATGTACGGTGGGGATTTTGCAGTGGAAAGAGGATTCGTGGGTAGCCGGACCGGCGCTGAGTCTGGACGAATAGAAAAGAGAGGCGGAGGCGGAGGAGAATTCCAGATTTGGGAAGGGAAGATCTCGTCATCGGAAAGTCGGGATGGATAAATAGATTATTTTTTATTTTTTATGATTAAATTACCTTTTTACCCTTAATGAACCCTGTTGTTACCGTAACAACAAAGGAGCTGTTGTTATCGTATCCGCTCCCCAAAATTGTCATCCCAACTTAAATGGCAAAATCCAACGATCTAGGGTTTACAGCACCGGTACCGGAACGGTAGTCCTCGGCGTAGCAATGACTCGTCGGAGCATTCCCAAAAATCAAAGTCAATGGAGAAATTGGTTAACGGTGACCGGATCTCATTATTTAAAATGCTTAACAGCACAGCAGGAAATCAATGGATAACATCTCCATTGCTAGTTTTTATGATCATTTATTAAAAAGATGAGCCAATACGTTGTCCACATAACGGCTCTGCCTTCCCCTGTCCCCAAACAGTCCGCTCATCTCCTTCGCCTTGTCCCTATAAACCTTCCCTTCCTCACTCACCATCACAACCCGCAGCGACTCGGCCACCGAGTCTCGCGTGAACGACCCATCCGACTCGTCCCTCGGTATGCAATACCCCAGCTCCCTCTCCTCCAGAACCCTCGCGTTAATCCCTTGGTCGGAGTAGAACGTCAGCAGAATAAGAGCCCGCCGGAGGGACAACGCCTCCACCACCGAGCTCCAACCAGAATGAGTCAGAAACCCGCCCACCGAGTCATGACCCAGGATTCTCAGCTGAGGCGCCCAACTCGTGCACACGATCCCCCGCCCTCTCGTCCGCTCCTCGAACCCGGGCGGAGGCGGAGGAGAATTCCAGATTTGGGAAGGGAAGATCTCGTCATCGGAAAGTCGGGATGGATAAATAGATTATTTTTTATTTTTTATGATTAAATTACCTTTTTACCCTTAATGAACCATGTTGTTATCGTAACAACAAAGGAGCTGTTGTTATCGTATCCGCTCCCCAAAATTGTCATCCCAACTTAAATGGCAAAATCCAACGATCTAGGGTTTACAGCACCGGTACCGGAACGGTAGTCCTCGGCGTAGCAATGACTCGTCGGAGCATTCCCAAAAATCAAAGTCAATGGAGAAATTGGTTAACGGTGACCGGATCTCATTATTTAAAATGCTTAACAGCACAGCAGGAAATCAATGGATAACATCTCCATTGCTAGTTTTTATGATCATTTGTTAAAAAGATGAGCCAATACGTTGTCCACATAACGGCTCTGCCTTCCCCTGTCCCCAAACAGTCCGCTCATCTCCTTCGCCTTGTCCCTATAAACCTTCCCTTCCTCACTCACCATCACAACCCGCAGCGACTTGGCCACCGAGTCTCGCGTGAATGACCCATTCGACTCGTCCCTCGGTATGCAATACCCCAGCTCCCTCTCCTCCAGAACCCTCGCGTTAATCCCTTGGTCGGAGTAGAACGTCAGCAGAATAAGAGCCCGCCGGAGGGACAACGCCTCCACCACCGAGCTCCAACCAGAATGAGTCAGAAACCCGCCCACCGAGTCATGACCCAGGATTCTCAGCTGAGGCGCCCAACTCGTGCACACGATCCCCCGCCCTCTCGTCCGCTCCTCGAACCCGGGCGGTAGCTCGATCGCGTCCGGGTCGGATTCTCCCCGGCGGGTCCTCAGTACCCAGAAGAACGGCAGCCCGGAATTTTCAATCCCCAGTGCCAGCTCGGTGAGTTGGTCCTGACTCGGTTTCGCCTCGCTTCCGAATGCCACGTAGACCACGGATCCGCTCCCCTGCTCGTCGAGCCACTCCTTGATTGACCCCCACGCCGTCGGATCCGCCTCCGCCGCAGGAGGCGGCGGCGAGAGCTGGCCGACGGGGAGGACCGGCTTCTCGTAGATGTTCTCGAGAAGCCGGAGCCAATCAGAATCAAACTCGGAGCAGGACCGGACCGTCACGACGTCGCAATTGCGAGCGGAGAGGCCGATTCGGATCAGATCGTTGACTCCGGATGCGTCGTCCTCGACGCAATCGAAGGTGTTCTTGATGTCGTAGTAGGTATAAGCGACGGTGGTGGGGAAATCGACCCAATTGGGGGCGACGGTGAAGTCCTCTGGCTTCTTCCGGTAGTCTCCGCCGTCAATTAGGACGGAAGGCGGGCCGAGGAATCCGAGGAAAGCGGGGATGCAGATGGAGAAGAAGGAGCTCTTGATTCCGAGTCGGGCCGCGATTGGCCCGACCCAGTACTGGGCGAAGTCGTAGAAGATCCAGTCGGGTCGGAGCGACCCGAGGATCCGGGTCACGGGTTGCTGGAGCAGGTCGAGGGATTTCTTGAGGTACTGAACTTGGTTGGGAGGCAAGTCGGTGGTGGCCTCGGCGGACGGAGGAAGGCCGTCGACTGGCGGCAACGGAAGCTTGACGAACCGGAGGAAAGGTGAGAGTGAGGTGGGGATTTGGGGGAGGCGGTCGATGTTTCGCGGGGAGGAGATGAAGGAGACGGAATGTCCCTTTTGGGCTATGAGCTTGGCGAGTTCGACCCACGGCATCATGTGGCCGAAGGCCAGCCATGGGAACATGGAGATGTGGAGCTTATCGTCGTGGTGATCGGCGGCGGCCATGGATGGAATCAAGAAAGGTTAATTGAGAGGATGGAGCAATTTTTGTTGGTAATTATATTTGTGTGGGGATTAGCATTTAGCTCCCACTAACAAATACTCCAAAAGGAACAGTGACAAGAAGTTAATAATGTATGTGGCAAGTGGTAGCCGGCCGGCTGACAGAAATTTGTGATACTTGATATGACAATTTGAACAATTATTATGGACAGGGTAACTTGCTTTGTGACCCCATTAGAGAAAGCGATTTTTTTTTTGCATATTAGACAAAGCGATTAATTGTTGAATAATTGTGCTTCGTAGTATTAAAGAAAAGACAGATTACATTATACTTAATTTAACAAAATGGTTGATGTTGTGGATGATAATGAAGCACATCCATTGGCCGGCCAGAAGCATGATTCCCGCCTCCCATATTCTTTTCGGTACTAGTTAGAGCGATGGATCAACATCCAGTCGGCGGACCATCGTCGGAAAGATCTTCGAATTGCTGTTCATATATATTGGGAAGAAACGACGTATAAAGAAGACAAAGCTTGATTAATTAATTATATATGAGCTAGAAGCCACCGCCACGCCAACAATAAAATTTATATGCAATTGTGTTAGGTTTTTTTTAATACAATTATAAAAATATAAATACTTAAATAATAAAATAGTATATAGTTTAATAATAAAAAATTATGTACTTGCAAGTTGCAATCAATAATTGCATTAGATAGAAGATTGTATTGATGTCAACATTAATAAAATTATAAATGAATATCATGTTCAATATAAAATTCTAATATGCATGTCCTACGCAGCAGAGTATTGCTTTCTAATAAACAGGATTTTCTCACCACGTATAACCGTAATTAAAAAAATTCCTAAAATAAAACACTTATAATTTTTTTTCCAAAATTCCTAAATTTGGAGTGGTTCGAGTTCAATGAGCTCGAATCACTAGTTGGATCGAGTTACAAAGTCTGGATCCATTTTCTGAGGTAGTAGATCGAGTTTGATGACCTCGATTCACTACAAGAGGTAGTGGATCGAGTATCCAAAAAGATTTCCTATTTTGAAACTTTCTTCTTAGTAAAAGTTGTAGTATTCAAAATAAAAAAATTCACTACAATCGGTTATGTAACACAAATTTATGATCATTTAAAATTTGGTAAATCGAAAAAATGTCATTTGCTACTCCAAACGACCAATTTTTCGTTTTTTGTCAAACTTTGGACGATCATAACTTTGTGCTTCGTAATCCAATATTCACAAAGTTTGTTTTGATTTTGCACAATTGTTGAGTCCTACAACTTTTACTAGGATGAAATTTTCAAAATTGGAAATCTTTTTGGATATAAGGGGTTTTGAGAATAAGGTTAGCTTTACTTTTCACATTTTCATATACATTCTGAAAATGTTTCTATGAAAAAGTTGTAGTCCTCAAAAGGAATGAATTTTTTTTTCCACTACGATCGGATAGCCGAGCACAAAGTTAAAGTTATTGGAAATTTCAACGTAGTGCATCAAGGCCATCAAACTCTATCCACTACCTTAAAAAGTAGATCGAGGCTCTCTAACTAGTCAATGAACTCGAACCACTCCAAACTTAGATAGTTTGGAAATTATTTTAATTATTGCTGTATTTGGGGAAAACTCCCTAATAAACACGACTAAAATACCACTCTCTAAAATTCAAACGCTCTCCCTTTTGTCTAGAAACACCCATATAGAGGATCTTACAATAAAGACAACTCATATCTTACCACCTAACATCTCTAGAAGGATACTGAAGCACACAACTTCAACAGGGTAGCAAATCAAACTACAACAAGGAATTATAAGATTCATTATTAAAACTAGATTTGTTATGCTTTGCTGCTGCTAGTATTGGGAGTACACAAACTTATTGTGCATAATTATGTATAACATATCACAACACTCTTTATAAAAGATTTTTTTGTGTTTTTCCTAAAAATTGTAATGAGCTATTTTTATTTTCGTTTTAAGTCGTAATTTTTTTTATCAAAGATAAGTCAGATTAATTGTGATTCTAAAAAATATATCCATTTTGATATATCTTGAAACAAGAAAATAGAGACGTTTATTATTAGTCTATTACATACATGGTGCTAATGCTTGATATTGCATAAGTTTCAGCTACAGAGCAACCGCCACCTGCACCACAGTACCGCGATCGATCGGGCGGGTCCTTCCACTTCTGATCCTTATGTTGCCCGTAGCCGTATGCATGATTTCGAGCAGGGGATTGCATACATCGATGCCCGTTTGTCACATGAGAGGAGGGCTCGGCGTTCTCCCAAGACCATGAAGGAGGGATCCACAACCATTTTGGCATCGATGTGTTTGTTCCGAACTAGAGCGATGAGTGATGGCACCCAGGGCCACTTCGCATTTTTTGTCCAATGATCATCAATGTGTAATAATACAAATCCCTTTGACTGTTCGACGATGTTTTCTATGATCCCAAGTTGTTTTTGTCCTTCTCCACTTCGTTGAACATTCATAATCTATTCCATAACTTCGTTCCATCTTTATCTTATATTTTATCCAATGACGACAATGTTGTGCTTAAATGTGGAGAGGATGATTGACCATGAATAATGAATGATTGGATGTTTTTGTTGTTTTGGAGCCTAATCCACTATCCTAATTTTAACATTTAGAGCTCCAAGTACATGGTAATGTGCAATTGCCTACTCAGTGTGCTTTGACTGTCTAGTCTTCATGATAGTATGTGATATAGGGAGAATAGTGTAGCGATATGAAGGATGTTGGTACATGACAGATCTCCCCTCCATTTCAAAATTCGATTGAAATTCCCTCTTCTTCAACTTCTTCCTCGGCCGAAAGGATCCCAGAACGGAATACACCTACCTACAACAAGAACAAAAAACTAAATAGATAAAGGGGCAATACAATAGACTTGTGGCGTGCTTTTATAAACACTAGTTTTCTTACCCGCGCTCCGCTGCGAGATTTGTGACACGTTGGAAGAAAAAGAGAAGTTACCTTTTGTACATCATGTGTTCTTAATTTGGATATAATTACATTGCTAATTAAATCCAAGGAAACTTATTAAATATTATGGACATAATAATTTGTGGTCACATATCAGTATCTAGAAGAAATATAGGATGCGGCGAAAATAAACAACACATCCCATGCAAAAAATGTCCACAGCCAAAATACTAAGCAATTCAACAAAAATATATTTAAGCTTTCATTACCAAGAAGTCCCAAACCAAGGTAAAACAATGAGAATTTAGGGTAGTCAACAGAACTACAGGAATTACAGAAGTGCCCACAAAAGCAAATTAATATACAAACTTATGACTAATCAGCTACAAATATTACAGAAGTCCACAAAATAAAATGGTCACATGACTTGCACGGACAATGTGTTATCTTGAATTTGTCTTCTGATGGCTAAATAAATAAATAAATAATAGGAAAATTCATATTGGGAAATCTTCAACTGCTCCCTCGAAAGAACAAAAATGAATCCATAAGATAAAACCCCCAAGTAATATAACTGAGAAAACAAACTCGATAGAAAAAATGGCCACCTCAAATATGCTAAGATCTGCGCATCCACCTCTTCTGTGAGCACTCTCTGTACCTTTCAAATCCATAGAGCAACTTAGATTTCCACTCTTCTCTGAGTAGCTAATAGAAGAAAACAGGACAAATCTTTGAGCCTTCGAGATATCAGATATAGTGCAAGATTGAACAATCATCTGAAACCAGAATGCAACCTTTAGATTAGGGTCTTCAACTAAATCTTCTCTTTAAAACTTTGGGAGGTTTGAGATCTTGACGTCGTGGATTCGCAAATCTGGTAAAGGAGAAAATAAATAGAGATGCTCTCAACATAGCCGGGGGAAAAAATCAGAATGAGTCACCAAAGGGATTCCTCAAACATGATCAATATTAAAAGCTTCAGATGAACTCCGTCATTGCGTGAATATACCAAAGTGCAGAAAATTCGGTTATGCCAGTGAAAAGCTCTCCAACTTTTCTCTGCTACAGCGAGTGCGAGGTCATTGACGGTATCTTCCCTGAAAAGTGATCGAACAAACCCTTTTGAGCACGAAAGATAGCACAAACACCATCTAAAGAAAGAGAGGGAAAATTCACCAACGACAGAGGAAACAGACCTGGCGGATCTGGGTCCTTCGAATCCTCTCTCGATCTCCCATATTCCCCGGTGGATCGCTCAAACTCTAATGGTTTCTGAAATAGAGATGCGAGAACAAAAGAAGAGAGAAGTGCGAGAAGAAGACAGTGAGACAATGAGAGAGAGAGTAAGAGCCAGATGGTTCGTCTCTGACTTCACCATTACTATTTCAATTCCCAGCAAAAGTATAAAAAAAAATCAATGAGAGAAAGAAAATAAACCTTGAGGGTTGTGCCGGCGCCGGCGCCGGGTAGGTTAAATGAGTGGCCGAGATAAAAGAGTGACGTGGTGCCCAAATCTACCATGCAACCCACGAAAATATCTTCATGATTTATCCGGGCGCCATCCAGCCCCCTTGTGATCAATGCGCATTTTCATCTTGGGCCAATCAGGCCACACTGTGTATTGGCGTCAACGTCAGACCCAATTCCACGTACCGATTAGCGAGTGGAGATCCCTGACAAACAAAATCAAGGAAAAAAAATTGGATAACAAATAGGGACACAAAGGGCCCGCTCCATCTCAGAAAGTCAATCACAGTCCAGTGAATAGTAATTTCGAGTCACAATGAATAGGAAAAGCAGTCTGGATGTACATTAATTGTTGTTTTGAGCTATTATACTTTTAATTAATTATTGTGGTTTGCTCTAAGTTACTTGTGGCATACAATAATAAACATGTCGTTTACGTTATTGGTCATGTTGTGTGCTTTAACGAACTTATGGCATGCGTTTCTAAACTTGTGATTTGCTTTGTGTAATCGTGTAATAGAGAAACACACTTGGTGTACCATGGCTCTCGATTTGGGCCAAGTGCT